GGGGGGGGGGGGGGGATTGCCAAGTTGCAGAATTGTCTTCCAAGGGCAAACCCCCCCCCCCGTGGATGGGGAAACTCTCCCCCCCCCAAAAAAAAACCTTAACCGTTTCTCAGGTCAGGAATCTGAGACATTTCATGCGGTTCTCTCCTCCTTCATCCGCTGCTTCGTGTGTGTGTGTGTGTGCGTTTTTTTACTTCCAAATTCCTGATTGCAGGAAGTGGAGACGCAAACGTTACGGGCCCAGCTGTTTGCTCCAACACGGGTGAGCTATTCTTTTCCCCAACATTCAGATAATCAAGGAAGGTGACAGTCAGAAAAGTTCGGCTCCGATGTGTAACCGGAGAAGGAACGCGGCGGGGAAAAGACTCCGTGTCCGCAACTTGTCCAATTTCACCTTCACCTTTTTATTATCCTTCGCTCAGTTACGTAACCAGAACAAACACACATTATAATTCCAAGAGATTACATATGATAGAGAAAGAAAGAAAGAAAGAGAGAGGGGGAAAGAGAGAGGGGAGAGAGGAGAGAGAGAGAGAGAGGAGAGAAAGGGAAGAGAGAGAAAGAGAAGAGAGAGAAAAAGAAGACATAGAGAGAGAAGGAGAGAGAAAGAGAGAAAGAGAGAGGAGAAAGAGAAGGAGAGAGAAAGAGAGGAGAGAGAGAGGACACAGAGAGAGAGAGAAGGAGAGAGAGAGGACACACAGAGAGAGAAAGAGAGGAGAAAAGGAGAAAGAGGAGAGAGAAAGAGAAGAGAGAGAGAAGGACAGAGAGAGAGAGAAGGAGAGAGAAAGAGAGAAGGACAGAGAAAGAAAGAGAGGAGAAAGAGAAGGAGAGAGAAAGAGAGGAGAGAGAGGGGACACACACAGAGAGAAGGAGAGATAAAGAGAGAAGGACACAGAGAGAAAGAGAGAGAAGGAGAAAGAGGAGAGAGAAAGAGAGGAGAGAGAGAAAAAGAAGAGAGGGAAAAGGATAGAAAGAGAGAGAGAAAGAAAGAGAAAGAGAGGAGAGAAGAAGGAGAGAGGAGAGAGAGAAGGACAGAGAGAGAGAGAAAGAGAGAAAGAGAGAGAGGAGAAAGAAAAGGAGAGAAAGAGAGGAGATAGATAAAGAGAGAGAGAGAGAGAGGATTGGCCACCGATTGGCAAGTTGGAAGGCAGGCCAGAGTAGCCATCTTGCCTTTTGTGACCTCTCCGCCCTCATCCCTAAAAGGGCCCACTGGATCACGGAAGGAACTGGAGGAAACCCAAAGGCATAGTTCTCTTGAAAGTGTTTTAAGAGAAAGAAGCTTTTAAATGCTCAGCCTCTAAGGTACATGCATTATTTTATATTAAAATAAAAATAACTGGCCAAATCACACCTGCCTGACCCAAATATAAGCTTTCCAAATGACATTTCTGAATTCACAGGCTCTCTGCATTGGAAAAACGATGGAAAGTCCTTAACTTGGTGCTTGAAGTTATGGGCTGCTTCAGTTCACACATTGCACTAAAGCGGTTACGTGGACCAGGCTATAGTGCAAACCCTGGTTCATGGCGATGGCACCCAGAAAATGGGTGATTTAAATCGTCATTAAAAACCCAAACAAAACTTGAGGCAGCCGATTTGCAATGGTACGGGTCAACCAGTAGTTAAGATTCTACGCAGTTTGACGAAACAGCAAATCCCACCATTGGCTGGCCTCGCCCCCATTCATTTTTCAGCTGTTTTTCAGGCCGGTTTTGGGACAAAAATGGTCTGAAATCAGCCTGGAAAATGCCCCTCAAAACAGCCTTAAAATGGCCTGGAAAATGACCTTTAAAAGCCCCCCAAAATGGTCTGGAAAACAGCCAGAAAACTCCCCCCAAAATGGCCTGAAAATGGCCCTCAAAACAGCCTGGAAAATGGCCCCCAAAATGGTCTGGAAAACGGCCCTGAGAATTGTCCCCAAAACGGCCTGAAAATGGCCCCAAAAACCAGCCTGAAAACAGGCCAAAGAACAGCCAAAAAACAGGCTGAAAAATGGGTGGGGCGTGGCCAGCCAGTTGTGGGATTAGCACCAACCGGCTGAATCCCACTTCTAAGCCTTTGAGGCGAGTGGCCAGGAGGCGGGGCTGGGTGTGACGAGTGACGTCACCCACCCAGTCACATGACCAACCAGCCATGCCTACCCAGCCAGACAACCGATTGTTAAGTTCTTCAAGGCCCACCACTGTTTCCCACCCCCACCCAGCCCCAATGGCAAATAAAAGAACAATCACTCTTGCAGGTGTTAGAAAATAGTTTTATGAAGACATTTCTCTACGAGATTCTTTGTCTTTCCTCAGTCAGGGTAACACAAAGGAGAACTATCCTGGCATCACCCGTTTTGTAAACATTGTGTACTACTGTAACACACACTACGCAACTTCAACAAAAGTACCCTGAGCTTATTCCCTGCCTCTTTCAATGCTTGATATAGCTAGACTCTTTAAGTTTATCCGCTTCGATTCGGTTCTGCCAACTGGAAAAAATCATCACGCCGTACCAAGATTTGACTGCCTGCAAAAAAAAAACCCAGGTTATTCAGAGTTTGCTCCATCCGTCTGAATCTGCGGAGGGAGGCGGCTCTAGGCCAGCAACTCTTCGTCCCAAAAACGGGGTGTAAATTCAGATTGTCCACGGCTCGCTGGTCCCCTTCGATGGATCATTGTAAAGTACATGCTGGAAAAGGAAGGAAGCAATTTAGATTAGGTTTGAGATGAATCCGTTAAAAAAAANCCCTAACCACTGCGCCACCTCGGCTCTTCAGAGATGGGAAGCTGGTGGTTTTACTACAGGTTTTACTACAACCGGCTTGCATGCATTCCAGACGCACACTATGCGTTGCATGAGCCATTCCATGCAAATTGCTCTTCGCGCATGCGCAGAACGATTTACAGTGAACTGGGCATGCGCAGTCACTAAAAACCAAAATGGCGGAGGCCTAGCGGTGGCGAGGGGACAATTCAGGGGTGTGGAAGGCCTGGGTTGCTACCGGTTCGGCTGAACCGGTAGCAACCCCCTTGTGCTCCAGACAGAGCTGGGGATTATTATTATTTCTGGGGGGGGGAGTGGGAAATATTTTTATTTTGTCTGTGTCTTTATCATGATCCACGCAGCTGCTTTCCTGCTTCGCTTTTCCGTACAAGCCGAGCCGCGAGGGATCTTGCGAATTGCCTGGTCTAAAAATAAAGGTGATACCACTTCCTGATATGAATCACTCCCAGAGCGAGCGACAGAACAAACTTTATCCTTTTCTTCCCCTTGATCTTCGAACGAACTCCAAGCCTCTTTTTAAACATCATTCCTTCCTCCCACGAAATTGCTTTTATATATATATACCTCATCAGCCTCCTGCAAGCAATTGCAGCTCACTTGCAAATCTACACAGCCAACGATGGAAGATTGGCCACGAGCCACGCTATATGAAAGGGACGATTCGTTTTTTTATTTTATTTTTATTTTCCGGGGGGGGGGGGAAGAGGCGGGGAGAAAGAAATTGATACGAGTCTCCTTTTGACGTCTTAATTGGGCTGCTTAATTTTGCATGAGTCTGCCCCATAACTCTGCTTGTCAGAACAATCCGGCGAGAGTTTTTTAAATGAATTGTTTTGGAGGTTTTTTTCCAACCGAGAGAGAATTAGAAAAAGAGAGGAGGGGGGGGGGGTTGAAGGCAGCTAAAAATACTCCAGGCAGCTTCTTCTAGTCCTGACATACATTTTCTATCGGTCTGTTTTTTGTTTTTTTTTAAAGATCATCCTCAAGCGAAGGAGCGAAGAAGCATCTCATCGCCAGAAGGTTTGATGACTGATAAGAGCTGTTTCAATAATGCCAAATCGGAAGGCATTCAAAGAAGCAACAGACTCTTTCCAAAGCCAGATCATACCTAAGAAAAATATTTGGATACTTGGTGGCTAGGTTTGGTGTTCTGACCCCCTCCTCCGTCCAGTAATGAATGCCGAGACAAGCTTAAATGGAAGGTCCTTTAATAACAAGACCAGAATCTCGTTGGCTGAAAGCCAAGCAAACAAACAGATAAGGACCTTGGCAGCAANAGGTGGCTGATGAGGAAGAGGAAAGGAGAGCAGTGGAAATCTATGGACTGGTCCTTGGGATGGAAGAGCCACCGCTACTAGCGAAGCCCCACCCTAGCTCTGGGGATCAAAGGCAGGGGGCGGAGATGAATAGATGTGACAGACAACTATTCATCTTCCGGACGGACGGACTCGTTAGCCTGCGAGGGAAACTTTTTGCCGGGGCTACTGGTGCTCCTAATAAAGGAATCTTTCGGGTTCACGTCAGAAGGTTGGTCGTCTTTGGGGAGCTGGGTCAGAACCATCTGCTCCTCCTGAGTCGGAAGGCTCAATTAACCCTCTCTTCCCTAGAATGAAACCGACGACAACCAGATCCAACTGGCCGGGGGCGACGTGGAGCTGCCGAAGGAGCTGGCCAAGATGATAGAGCAAGACAACGAGGAAGAAGAGGAAAAGGACTCTGTTATCGGACAGCTGACCAACATCCAGAACCTAGACCTGGATTCCTTGAAGGACAAAGCCCAAGCCACCATCGACGATCTGAAGCAATCCGCTGAGAAATGCACCATCATGTGACTCCATGCTGCCTCTTGATCCCAGTTGGTCAACCCGTGTGAGTGGGGTGGTGTGGTCCGTGAGGGGGCAAGGCTGACCCTAGTCGATGAGAAAGACCCAACAGTGAGACCCAACGAGTTTGTCTTCCTTGTGTGCGCACGTGTGCGCGCGAGCTGAGTATTTTCTTTGCAGCCCGAGTCCCCGTCCCTTGTAACGTATCTTCCATCCCTCTTCAGTGGACATGAGGTGTGCGTACCTGTCTCAGGTTAGACCCTCTCTCCTCCCCTTACCAAGGTCCACCTTCAATTGCTACCTCTCTTTGACCTTCTTCTCCCTTTCCACCTACATCTAGACAGTCTATCTTCCATCAGCCTTTTGATGGAGAAGGATAAGAGCCATTTACTATCCCGGGAGTCGTCCTGGCTGTGTACCAAAATGAATGTGCAATACACACACACACACACAAACACCTTTACAGAAACACAATTTGAAGAGGAGACTATCTTGTGGAAAGAGGCTGAAGAAGCAAAGGAACCAGGGGTGAAATTCAATTTTTTTATTACCGGTTCTGTGGGCATGGCTTGATGGGTGTGGCAGGGGAAGGATACTGCAAAATCTCCATTCCTTTCCCACTCCAGGGGAAGGTTACTGCAAAATTTCCATTCCCTCCCCCCTCCAGGGAAAGGATACTGCGAAATCCCCATTCCAACCACACTCCAGGGGAAGGATACTGCAAAATCCCCATTCCAACCACACTCCAGGGGAAGGATACTGNATTCAGCTGTTTCTGTCTCAGTTCATGACTGGGTTTCAACCTACGTGTGACATTGATGATCATTAGGACCTTTTTGGTATAATTGGTTGATCATACGCCTGACTATAATTGGCTACAAAATCCCTGACTTTGTGAAAGTGTACCTATGAGAATGGATGCTGGTTTGAAGGCAAAAGGTAGTAACACCAAATACTGATTTGATTTAGATTTTTTGTTCGCTAACTTTGCATTTTGAAAATTGACAAAAATAAACAATCATTATTTGTATTTCTGAAAGCATTCTTTGTTTATAGCATTTTTTTCACACCTGCCTAAAACTTTTGCACACTACTGTATATTGTATGACAGTGAAATGTTTTGATCAGATTCAAAGGGAAAGACATGCTTTAAAGCATTCACAAGTGTACACACTGCATCTGTCAGCAATACTTCAATATATGTGTGTCTTTTCCAAAGTTACGGAAGGCAGTTATTCATACTCAGGAAAAGATACAGCTGCTCTGAGTTGCTGAGAAATATTATGCAAGTTCCCAGCTTTTAAACATATTTCCTCCTTCAAAACATAAGTGCTGTAGTGAAATTGCAATATTTGGAACTCACAAGTGTGCACAGGATATAGTGAGCAGACATAAAATGATGGGTATCCTGTTAATTAGATGGGGGGAATCAGAGCAAGCACTGACAAAATGTGGGACATTAACACTTTGGAACTAAATTTTATGGGAACAACATTCCAACTTTCTAGAAATTTTTTCCCTATAACAATGAAGGTTTAAACATAATTTTAGGCTAAGTGATATATATTTCCCAGGGGCAAGTAAGCCCTAACATAGATCTCTGCAGAGAAAAGAACAAGATTCTCTGGTAGAATCCTGAATTGTCCTGAAATGATCTGATACAACTCCCTGCTTACCCATCATGTTGCCTGGATTATCTTGAAAATACCTTTTATTTTCAATCCAACTAAGTTCGTACAGGAACAAATGTATCAAATGTATGTGTTCTTTTATGGATATTGCACTTGGCTTCTTGTCACAGTAGAAGGCAAGGAGAAGAATGGCAAAGTAAACAGTTTTAATTGGAATTAATTATGTGAATGCTTTAGTTAAAAGATTAAAAATAACAGGTGAAAAGGTGAAAGAACACAGGGCAAATCATATTTTACCCCAAGGGCATGAAGAGTACAGTCTCCTGAGCCAAAAAGGAAAAGAAACCTGAAAGAGTGTAAAGCCTGCTAGCATATGGATGGCTTTAAGGTCAAGATATTAATTTGATGGACATGTTTAATGTCCAGAAGGCACTGGATTCATGTTCTGCATGGAGAAAAGGCAATGCTCCTATCTATTGTTACATTAAAATGACAGAACTGTGTTCACAGGTGTTCCAAATGTGTTGTGGCCCAGCAGGAGCCGTTGGAGCTGCCACCAGACTCCGACAGCGAGGGGCCCTATGAGTCGGCTCTGGAGGATCCTGGACAGGGTTCCGACTCTGAGCAGGGCGCAGAGAGGCTAGTTGGCCACCAGGAGGTGCCTGAGCTTTGGACCAGTGGGGAGGAGACAAGGGAGAGTGAGCCAGACACCAGCACTGAGTTATTCCTGGATGCTTGGCATCGAAGAGCTAATAGGCGTAAGGAACAGTTGCGTAGTTACAGGAGATAACTGCACTCAGCTGGTGGTCATTAGGCTCCTCTCCAGACTATAAAAAGACTGCTTGTGCACATGCCCCTCTTGCAGAAGTCAACGCAGGAATGAATGTCGGAGAACATTGTTATGAGCTTGGCAGGCTGGATTGCTGCCACAGCTTATCTGTGCTGGATTGCTGCCCAGCTTGTCTGTGCCGGTTTGCTGCGAAAGACCTGTCTGTCTGTTAATAAATTGCGT